AGGCAGATTTTCTTTCCTTTGCCATGACACAGAGGGCCTCCACAGGATCCAGTCCCTGGCTCAGGGTGTGCTCCCCGCTGAGCCTCAGCTGAGCTCGCTCTGAGCTCCCTCTCAGCAGCAGAGCTGTGCTCGGTGTGGGTGGGCAGAGACCCCCTGAGCTGGGCCAAGGTGAGCTCAGCTCTGCTCCACATCAGCTGGGGCTGTGCTGCAGTGGGACCCTGCAGCCTCTGACCGTTCCCATTGTCCCCACACCCTGCAGGAGCCCTGCACTGCCTGGGTGAGCTCAGCGGGATCTCTGTGCCCTGGATTGGTGTTTGCAGCCTGTTTGCTGCTCCCCASGGCCACAGGAGGCTCAGAGCTCGCTGCTTCGCTGTGGCTGCTCAGCACGGAGCTGTTTTGGGCTCCTGGAGCAGCTGTGTGGGTTGGTAGCCAAGTTCTGGGGTTTGTTTGCTCTGCGGTGGGCAGCACCGACAGCCTGGGGCTTTCCATCGCCRCTGTCGCTGCTGCCACAGCCCCAGAGCTGCTGCTCCCATCACTGAGCACCCAGCAGGGTTCCAGTGTTCCAGAGGGGTGGCAGAGGGGAGGTGAGGGCACAGCAGCCCCGATCCCACAGCTGTGCAGGGCTGGTTTGTCTCGGTGGTGCTGCCTGGCCTCTCCTCTGGGCCTGTCTGGGGAGCTGCTGTGCCTTTAAAGCCAATCCCAGCACTGAAAGAGTTAATGCTCCTTCCCAGCTGGTGTCACCCATGTCCTGAGTGTCCCTTGGTGCCATCCTGTTATCCKGCTGCCCACGGGGAATGCAGGAGGCAGAGCAGGAGCAGCCCCCTCTMAGGGATGTTCTCTGTCCCTGAGCCGGGTCCTGCCCTGCCCTGGGCCATCAGTGATGTGTGGGAGGGGGCCCAAATGTGCCTCTGAACCCCTGTGCTGGGTGAGAGCTGCTGGGGGCTGGGATCTGGACCCCCTGAACCCCCTGTGCTGGGTGAGAGCTGCTGGGGGGCAGAGCCTGAACCCCCTGAACCCCCTGTGCTGGGTGAGAGCTGCTGGGGGGCAGAGCCTGAACCCCCTGAACCCCCTGTGCTGGGTGAGAGCTGCTG